GCAAACTACTCCATAAAAGTTACTCACTAAGAAGGTTTAGAGCTTTTGCTGGAGTGATTTTGGAAGAAGAAATCCTAAACTACCATCTTTTTTAAGGTTCCAAGGTAACTTGTCTAGAAATCCCTCTTTGCTCTTAATAATTGTAAATTGGTGGATTAGAGTTGTTAAATATGTAGTTTTGTGAGAAATTTCATGGGTTGAAATAGTGTTATGATAAATTTCAATTTTTATGGTGAATTTTCTGCCCTCATGTGATGATTAATGATTGGCCATGGTTTGATAGTTTTGTTATGTGATAAATTAGTGTATTATGTGCTAGATGGACTTGCCTAAAGAAAATTTCCAGCTTTAAGGTTGAAACTGCCCTGTTCTGACCTGTTTAATTCATCCATATTAGAGGCCGAATCAAGCTTAGGTTGAAACATGAAAGTTGTAGGAAATGGTGTTAACTAGATGACTACAAAATTTCATCTCAATCAGAGCATGGTAGCATGTGAAATGACAAAAATACCCTTGACTGCCAAATGTACTGTTTTGTGGACAATGTTCTGTTTTCTCTGAGATTGCATATTTTGACCTTGAAAAGGAACGAATTGGGTGTTGATGTCTTCATAGGAAATGTATTTCTCTGTCTTAGATTCGAAACGGTATAAATGTTACCCCAATCCGATAAGCGTAGCTTCGGTTGTGACCGAAACGCCAAGAGATATCAAACCTGTTATTTTGTTATTTGTCTTGAACATTAGTTCCGGTCGCATTGTTAGCATTATTTTGTAATTGAATGACATTGAGCCTAGTGAAAGGCTATTGTGGTAAGATTATTTGTGTGTGATTTTGGAGCTGAATTGAGAAAAATAATGAAGCCATAAATGGCTGGAAAATAGGTAAATACAAAGGGCATGCTACCCAAATTTTCACTCGAGGGCTAGTTGGATGTACTCGCGACTTGAGCGAAAGGTTTTAGGGTTGTTTATGTTTTTAAGACCAACTGCTACCTTTTTACTCCAACGCCACATAGTTAACTTGACTAGGCACACTACTTGTAGTCGAGCCTCATTTGTGCATTCCGTTTCCTGGGTTTGTGGATGAGGAAACCATAATTGTTTTACCTTGGTTGTTGTTAGGACGTGACGGTGATCAAAGCCATCCTTTGGGAGAAAACTTTTGAAGTTATCTTTGCTTGAACTGGTGAGTGTACCCTCCCCTGATTTGTTGCTTAACTGGTTTATTTGTACTTGAAATCTGTGACATGAATGACTATGAACCCTATTTATTTTGAATGAGATGAGAGTGTACTTTATCACACTCGTTCTCTTGCCTATGTGATCATTTACTGTGCGAATTTGAATCTGTTATCTGTGTCTGTTCTGACGTCATTTGGAGGCTTGTATCCAACGATCCTTTTGTGACCTCTGAGCTCAAATCCTGTGGCTATTTACTCGATCGAACCGGCAAGGACCTGGTCGATTAGATAACGAGTCACGGTAGTCTGTTTCTGGGAAATCTTTGGGTATTGGAAACTCTGGATTTCCGATATACTCGAGTATTACCACCTCTGTTCTGTGTGTGGTGTTCGGGCCCGGCAAGAGGTATGATCGGTGGATGGAATTTGATGTCAAGTGGGGTCTACGGTCATGTTTGTTTCCTCGAAAGTTGACGGAGCGTCAACGAGTTGGGATCAAGCACTGCAATGGGAATTTGGCTCTTAAGAGCAACCTGTATCCTTTCTATCTGAGGTGTTTGTTCATTTCCTTACATGATGTGTATATGTGCCTTAAAAGTGAAATGCCATGATTCTTGACTACTTGTACTTGTGGTACCTCATTGAGTGTAAGCTCACCCCGCTCCTGTTATCTTTGTTTTCCTTACAGGGTTCAATATTTTGAGAGCTATGACTTTTGAAGAAAGAGTCGAGCTAGTGTAGACATTCTTTTGATCATGCTTCTCTGTAATCAAAACTCTAATTGTATTTTGTATACGTATGGTTACTATGACTTGTATTTTAAGTTAACTTGTTGAAGACTCTGATGTATATATGTATATAAGTGTGTAATCAAGTGTTTCAAGCGTATTCGTTTGAGATTGTACGTTTCTATGGTTATGTGAACTTTCTTATATCCATTGGGAAAATCGAGTGAGTGTGAAGCTTGAACGAGGAAGAAAAATTTGGTCGGATTTTGACGTGGCTGCGGTCCTTCACATTTTCCGATGATTCATTTTCCCAAAGTTCTTTGGACCATTTAGTAAGGTTTATGAATAATTTGATCCGTAGTCCTGGCGAGAGCTGGACAGGCGGTCTGCCGACCCTTTGGTTCGCCTTAGGGGGAGATGGGGCCGTCACAAAGAAGACCAGTTACCTCTTCAATTCACAGTCATTTCTTTGTTTCCTATCCTAAATGCCGAACAACTAGGGTCCTATAATTGTACCAATGCCTCTACCAAATAACCGTCCGATTCAATGTCTTTAAAGTTCCCGATTGGTCCTAGGTGAGATGACACTTGATGAATTTCACTAGACGAAAGAAGTGCGAGCCACCTCCGAACCTCACTTGGCACTACCAACAAATTTTTGATTCGTTGAGGATTGTCCATCTGAAGCACAAAGGTCGAATCAAATACGTTACCTATGAGCCCCACTTCTCCAATTTTTGGCAAAATTAAACGTGAAAATCCCATAGAGGATTAGATACTCAGGGGAGAAAAGGTTGGCCTAATGCTAAAATGGGATTTTCTAAATGGCATTCCCTCTAAAGTTAATGCATGATGTTAATTTATTAAAATAAATAAATATGCAATTAACAAAATTAAGCATGACCTAGATGAACCCTCTTTATATGCTAGGGTAGGCCTAAAAAATGAAGTGCCATATTAAGGTACTAAATACAACAAGATATAATTTAAACGTGTAATAACCTATCTAATTAGGTGGGCTCTTAAAAGAATACCATGCCAGAACTCTTATTTTTTAAAGTTTGTGAATGCAAGAGAAGAGAAAATAAAAAGAGGTTTGTGAATGCACGTATGAAGTGACTCTTTGAGGGGAGGGATTAATATTATTAAGCACACATGAAGGTTCTAAGGTGACATTCCCCCACCCCAAATGCAAAAGCACGATAATATAAATGAAATTAAACAAATCATTCATCACATACACGGAGAGCGAGAGACGATTACGGGTGTAAAATGCAAAAATCCTAAAACGTAAAAGAAAAAGAAAAATGCAACCTAAAACATCCTAATGTGATATATAAAAAAGGTTAGAAAAAGAAAAAAATTAACTAAACCTAGTGCTTGGATTCACTAAAAGTTCCCAATGGAGTCGCCAAAACTGTCATGCCCCATTTTTGAAAATAAAAATAGCGTTGAAAAAATGAATTTTTGATTTTAGAACATAAATAAAGAAAAAGGGTCTAAAATGGGATTTAGAAAAATGCGACGGTTTGGGTCCAACATAATAGTCTAAAAAGGGTTTTTATAAAAAAAAAAAAAGAATTGCCACTTGGAATTGAATTTAAGTGTACCAAATCACCCAAAATATATTTTAAATAAAAAATTGATAAAACCCTTTTAAGACGCTTTGAGATCTTTGAAAATAAGATAAAAGAGTTCGGGAGTCAAAGTTGAAGAAATGGACCGCAAAGATTTGATAGGTTCAAAGTTAAGACACCCTTTCAACCTAATCAAGGCTAGTTGCGAGATTTAATCAAAAATTTTTCTAATCTAACTTATAAAACTTATCACATTTGGATGTTTCTATATGGATGCAAATCATATCTAAGGGGTATCGAGAAGGACAAAATGTCTCTTCAAAATTTAATTGGTATCAATCACATTAATTCTGATACCCAAAAATGATTCTTTGAAAAAGTCACGAAAAATGCAAAAGATGAGATTAAAAAAAATGATGATAATATATAGATAAATATACGTTATCTAAAAGACGAGAATGCAATATAACGAGTACAGGAGACTAAAATTCATGACTCAATTTTCCTTTTCATGGAGAGGTAATAGTGTGCTAAGGCTAAAAAATCATGCTCGCCCATTTCCTATATTTGAAAAGTGACTCTCCTAAACTAGTCAAACAAATGGACTAGCCTATATCTAATTTCCTAAAATGAGATGTAATTCTAAATCATATGATCCAAACATATAGAAAGTAAGGGAATAATAGTAGGAAAAATATCATGAAAAAAATAACCTAAAAATAGGAAAAATACATAAAATGCAATAAATATCGCACAAGGTATGAATCTAGTGTGAAAACGGTCTAAAGGGTCTAGCATTGGATTAGCACATTTCTACAAGTCCTCACTAGCATTGGACTAGTGAGAAATCGGAGAAAAAGACCACAACTAGTATTGGACTAGTGAGAAATCGGGAAAAAAGATCACAACTAGCATTGGACTAGTGTGGTATCGTCATGCATTTGTTATAAATAAATAAAACATATAAAGTATAATTAAAGAAAACAAACGCATAAAACATTAGGGCATATAACACATAGGCATAATATTTAGATGCAAAAATCCTAAATAAATAAATAAACACAGAAGCACACAAGCATATAAGCAAAAAAAAATTAACTATTATATTTGGAGCCCTAACTACAATTTAGAAGGGAAATTTTTGGAAAAAATAAACCTATCTATTACATTTATCTAATTAATTATATTTTTGATAAAAATAAAATCTATCTATTAGATGGCCTAACTAAATACATTTCTTGGACACCTATCTATTATAAATTGGCATTTAAATGCCTCAAAAATAATCATCAAAAATTTAAAAAATAAATGAAAACTTAAAATGGATAAATGAGTAAATAAAAGAAAAACATTCAAAACATGCAATCACATGAAAATAAAACATATAGGAGCATATAAAAAAAATCTGGAATGTGTCCAAGCAATTATATTGTAACTAGGTTTTATCCAACTAAGAGTTCTCTCTAGCATAGGGTTGTCGTGCGTCTATTTTTGGTAGTTTAGGTTTTCTGCATGGCTGGCTTTCAGCCGCCTGGAGGGGGGGCTGGCCGCTCCTTTGCGGCTGTGCTCCAGGCGCAGCCTTCACCCTCATCATCTCCTTGCAAGATCAAGACTGCTGCACAATACCGTGGAGAGCCGGCCGTCCTTTTCTCGGCAGAGGATATTGCAAAGCTTTCTGCTCCTTTCACTTTTGCTGTGGTCGGAAAATTTTCCCATGGCAGGCCAAGTCTAGATGTCACTCGTAAGTCACTCCTGGCGATCGGTTTCAAGTCCACTTTCACTGTCGGTTTGCTAGATCAGAGGCATATCCTCATACGGTTTTGCTTGGAGGAAGATTTCCTTCGGTGCTGGACAAAGGGGTTCTGGAACGTTGCAGAATTCCCAATGCGTGTTTTTAAATGGAGCCCAGATTTTACAGTTTCAAGTGAATCTTCACGAGCCCCTGTCTGGATTGCGTTAGAGCATTTACCAATCCATTTTTTTGATAAGGTGTCACTTTTCTCTATTGCCAACACCATTGGCAACCCACTACAAATTGATACCGCAACTGCATCTTTGTCGAGGCCCAGTGTGGCACGCATCTGCGTGGATCTTGATGTCTCACAGGACCTACCCGAGCGTATCTGGATTGGGACAGGCAACTCTGGCTTCTGGCAACGCCTCCTCTACGAGAACCTGCCGCTGTATTGCCCTCTTTGCAATAGACAGGGGCACTCCAGTGATGGCTGTCGACAGCACAAACATCGCAGGAATGGATCCAGGGGCACTCCTCTGACGGCGGCGGCGGTAGCCCAGACCCACGAAGACACGACTGGTGCAAAGCAATCCAAAGCTCCGCAACTAGCGTATCTCATCACCAGAACTGGCCCAAACCAGAAGAATGAAGAACTGGGGCAGCCATCACATGTCTCTATGGCTCGACAGGCGCAGGTGGGCAGCGGTCAGGTTGAGTGCTCTAGTTGCGTGTGCCTAGATGGTGGGCAGGTTGCGGCGGGCCAGGTTGAGGATAGCGGTGCTCCCGCTCCTGTCTTGAAAGTTTCTGCAACCTCTCCAGTCTTGGGTCGTATCTGCGATGATTCGCAAATCCAGCAAGTTGCGCATGAGAAGCTGTCCCCCCAAGGCTCCCTTTCGGATGGGGAGGATTTGCCAGAGGTGGGTGCGCGTGATAGGAAGACACTGGTTGCCTCTTTTCAGCAGTTCAGCAAGGCACTGGGGCCTCGGGTTCAGCAGAAGTTTGCTGAACGGGAGGCAGATGGTTTCACCATGGTACTCTCGCGAAAGGCAAGGAAGAAGCGAGCTACCACCCCTCTGACCCGACAGGTCTTGACACGGCAAGCTGCTAAAGCCATTACGGTACCTTTTCACTCTACCTCCAATGAATAATTTGCTTATTTGGAATATTAGAGGAGCGACGAACAGACTCTCTGTAAGTCGCTTGCGTTTATTAATTCGTGTTCATCAAGTTGCTGTTTTAGTACTCTTAGAGCCTATGGCTGAAGCTTTCAATATTGAAAGCTTGCGGTTGAAGTTGTCTTTTGATTTTTGTTTATTTAATCCCTCAAATAAGATCTGGGTCTTTTGGCGGTGTGGTTTTCATTTTAATGTCATGCACAACTCAGAGCAAGTCCTCCATGTCATGGCGGGTCATGACTCTTGGACCGGGACTTTCTTTGCCTCTTTCATTTATGCTAAATGTACAAGGGTGGGAAGGCATGCTCTGTGGTCGGAACTCCGCGCTCTTGCTAGCTCGATCACAAGGCCGTGGTTGGTAGGGGGGACTTCAATGCTATCCGTACGCTGACAGAGTATACGGGTCGAGCACATCAGGACCTGGGAGCCATTTCTGATTTTAACACAGCAATCTCAGACTGTCATCTTCAGGAGTTGCCTTACTCTGGAAGCTCATATACTTGGTCTGGCGTTCGGTCAGGATCTAGGATATGGAAGCGGTTGGATAGGGTCCTGGCCAATCACCAATGGCTCAGTTTCCTACCAAATACTTCGGTCCAGCATCTAAATCGGGCCACCTCTGATCATACGCCCTTATTGGTGCATCTGCGGGGGGCTGATGCTAGTGCTCCCAAGCCTTTTAAGTTTCAAAATATCTGGGTTTCTAGCTCGGAGTTTCAATCGACGGTGCAGAGCAATTGGGAACTTCCTACGCAGGGATATGGTATGTACCGGTTGGATTTCAAGCTAAAACGCTTGAAGGCATGCTTACGCCACTGGAGCAGGCAACATTTTGGCAACATATTTCAGGCTGTTCGGCAGAACGAGTTTGAGGTCCAGCAAAAGGAAATTTTGTTCGAGGCTGCCCCGACGGACGAGGCGAGAGCTGAGCTCCATCGGGCCAAAGGCATCCTATTGCGCAGTCTTCGGGTGGAAGAGGACTACTGGCGTCAAAAGGCCAGCCTACGGTGGTTAAAGGATGGGGATTGCAATACACGCTACTTCCATGCTTCAGTGAGGGAGAAGCGCTCGAAGCTGGCTATACATCGCATTAAGGATGCTGGGGGGAGTTGGCTTGAGGATGAAGACAGCATTGGCCAGGAAGCGGTTGGTTTTTTCCAGAGTCTTCTTACAGCTGAGGAGGTTAGCGACGTGGATGATCTGCTGGTACACGTTCCGCGGCTCGTGACTGAGCATCAAAACGATGTCTTATTGGGGGAGGTAACCATGGAGGAGGTCAAGAGGGTGGTTTTCGACCTCGATAAGGATAGTGCCCCGGGTGTGGATGGATTCACTGGCATTTTTTTCCGTCACTGCTGGAATATCGTAGCTCTTGACATCTTAGCAGCGACTAAGGATTTTTTAGCTGGGACTCCGATCCCAAAAGGAATTGCTAGCACTTTGATTGTCCTAATCCCGAAGAAGCCAAACCCATCTACGTTTGCCGATTTTAGTCCCATTAGCCTGTGCACCTTTGTAAACAAGATTTTTACAAAGGTCCTTGCTAATCGTTTGCAGCCAATCCTCTCGGGCATTGTTTCTGCGGAGCAATCCGCTTTCTGCCCTGGTCGTGATATTGCTGAAAACGTGCTCTTGGCGCAAGAAATGATTGCCTCCATTGACAAGAGGGCACGGGGAAATAACTGCATCTTCAAGCTGGACATGATGAAGGCTTTTGATAGGGTGTCATGGTGGTTCCTACGGCAGCTACTTTGCAAGTTTGGTTTTGACTACCGATTCATTTTGCCTATTTTAAATAACCTCTCCCACAGCTGGTTCTCTGTGTTGGTCAATGGCAGGTCCAAAGGTTTTTTCCAGGCCTCCCGTGGGATTAAGCAAGGCGATCCTCTGTCCCCCCTCCTCTTCATTCTGGCATCTGAGGCTCTAAGTAGGGGACTGAATGCACAGGTCGAGGGGGGCAGAGTGGTTCCCTATGCAACGTCACGTGGTTGCGTTCGGGTCACTCACTTGTCCTTTGCTGACGACATCATCATTTTTTCGCGCGGAGATAGAAGGTCGGTCGGGAATTTGGTTCGGTTCTTAAATTTATACCAAACTGCAACAGGCCAGCGGATTAACAATCACAAGAGTTTATTCATAGCATCGAGGCGGTGTGGAACTGGCCAGATTCGTCGAATTCAACAGATGACTGGTTTCAGGCATGGAACTCTGCCGCTTCCTTATTTGGGATGCAACCTATATGCAGGACGTAGGAAAAAAGAATACTTCCAATTTCTAATCGATAAATTCATTGCTAAACTTGCGGGCTGGCAGAAAAAGATCCTCTCCCAGGGGGGGCGACTCATACTTATTAAGCATGTGCTCTCTGCCATACCTACGCACGTGTTAGCCGTCATGGACCCGCCATCCGGGGTGCTAAAGGAGATGGAACGCCTTATGGCCAATTTTTTCTGGGGGCAGACGGAGCTGGGCCCTAAACATCATTGGCGTTCCTGGAAAAACCTATGTTATCCAGTGGAGGAGGATGGCCTTGGCATACGTTCTTTTAAAAGCATACAAGGGGCTTTCAGCTGCAAACTGTGGTGGCAGTTCCGCCATTCTTCCTCCTTGTGGGCACTATTCATGCGATCCCGTTATAGTGAGGACAATGGGGTAGTCTGTGGAGCATCCAGAGTCTGGCGACGAATGCTGTCTGTTTCTGATATGGTGACGCAGTCCACCCGCTTAATTGAGTTAGACGACAGAGCTAGACCAGCTTGGACCCTCACATCTTCTGGCGATTTCACCATTTCTTCAGCTTGGGACGCTTTGCGGCCCAAAAGAGCTTGCCTTGGATCTAGGAAGTGTGTATGGAGTGCCAGTGCTCCTTGCAAGATTGCTGTCTTTATGTGGAAGCTGCTCAATCGGTATCTCCCTTTCCCTGATGCCCTTCAGCGGTTTGGCCTCCAACTCCCCTCAAAGTGCTCGTTTTGCTTGAATGGAGAGTCTCAAGATCACGTCTTCTCGGAATGCGTTCTAGCATCTCAGGTTTGGAGTTTTTTCGCCAGGGCCATGTGGGTTCCTCAGTCGCCTACGGCCGACACTATCTCCCGTTTACAGCAATGGTGGCTATGTCATCCTCCAGGCTCTGCACGGGGTAAGCTGTGCAAGGTATTGCCGTCGCTAATCTGTTGGGGCCTTTGGAAAGCTAGGAACATGGCGGTGTTTGAGGGCGTTGTTTTAACCCCAACTCAGGTTTGCTGGAATATTCAAACGCTGCTGCATCACTTGTCCCAGGTCCGGCCTTTCGCTCGAGTGACGCAGGATGACGGGGAGCTGGTCCGCTCGGGCTTGTTTCTCCGACTGACGTCACCGAAGCGGATGGCCCCACGCTGGGTCCTTTGGGAATCACCACCTGAGGGGTTTGTAAAATTGAATGTTGATGGCTCATCTCTAGGGAATCCAGGCTCATCTGGTGCGGGAGGTGTGTTTCGTGACTCGGGGGGTAATGTCCTCCGTGGTTTCTCCTATTTTTTGGGCTCAAGGACAAACATGGAAGCGGAGGCCTCGGCATTACTGGAGGGTATGTTGCTCTCCACAGGTTACCACCCTCTGCAAGTTGAAATGGACTCTCAGGTTCTGATGGCTATGGTGAATGACAATGGACGAGTACCTTGGAAGCTATGGAAGACTATCTCACGCATCCAAGCCTTAGCGCTGGGTCGCCAGGTTACCTTCTCTCATGTCTATCGGGAGGCAAACGGGGTGGCTGACGCCCTGGCAAATCTAGCAAGTTCCACGGGTGTCGATCACAGCTTTGGGGCCTCCACCCTCCCGGACTACATACAGGGGCTAGCCCGCCTAGATAAGATGCGAATGCCTTATGTACGGTTGTCTTAGCCCTTCTGGCGAACATCTCAAAACAGAACATCTCTTGTGTCTATTTTTGAATAAATTTGGGAGTGGCGTCCCCCCTCGTGTTCGAGGTTAGCCGGATTAAAAAAAAAAAAAAAAAAAAAAAAAAAAGGAGCATATAAAAAGAATTTAAAATAATAATAGAAGGTACCTCCCTTGAAATAGTGTTTAAATGAGGTAGGATTTGTTCTATTTATACTCTAAAACCAACAAAATAGTTAAGGTACCAATTGAATTAACAATTAAGAAGAAAATGTAACATATAGCAAACTCACTTTATTATTGTAGAGGAATATTATCAAATATAAAATTCCTAAAATTTATTAATTAGATGCATTTAAATGAAGAATGATCAACAATTAAATGAGATGAACCATTCTAGCTAAGAAATAATAAAGATCAGGGACCTAATTGCAAAAAATTAAAAGTTTTTGGGTCAAATTGTAATTATTAAAAGGGGTCAAAATTGAATAAAAGATAAAGTTTAGAGAGCAAAGTACAATTAAATTAAGGATCTAAATGAAAAAAATTCAAAGTTTTAGGGCTTCAATGAAAATACTCGATAGATCAGGGACCAAATTGCAAATTCTTTTTTGGTTTTGCAAGAAAACGAGCCTTGGGCTGCCTTTATATGGTTTCTTGTGTCGAAAATCCTCTTCGGCCCAGAGAAAAACTGAAGAAAAGAGTGGGCCAGCCTTTTTGTTTTTTAAACCAGACCCAACAAAAAAATAGGGTTAGAGCATCAAAGCCCGTACATGAACCTTACTACAAATCAAATTTGACCCAGTTTTTTATCTTAGAAACACAAAGAAAATAGCCCAAAAGGTTTGAAGAAGATCAAACATACCAATAAAATGAGAAAAAAAAATTGAATATAGCCAAGAACATCCATGAAAATTTCGACGAGTTAAAAAACCCGCCGGAAACTAGAAAAATCCCGGCCAAAAAGGCCGGAATCTTACCGGAACTCCATTTTTCAAGCTTTTTAGCCCGTATTTTTACATATACACAAAACTCATGCTATTGTGAATTCAAAAGAACCTCAAACAAAGTCCAAAAATCAAATAATGATATAAAAATATAGATCCAAATTTCTTGAACATAAACTCTCATAAACACACTCAAATATCTAGTATTAATGTTGAATCGAACAAGGAGAAGTTGGGGATATACCTAATGAAGCTTTGTGAGCAGATTAGAGCCAAGAAAAACGCGGATAGAAGTAGTTTGATGAAGCTTCAAACTTGTGCAAAGGGTAGCCAAACCAGTGATTTCGGGGCCGAATTTGAGAGTTTTCTAGATTTTTTTTGCAACTTGTTCATTGGATCCATTTTTCCAGCTGTCTTTGATATATTTTTGAGGCGATGAGGTGGCCTTTGTACTGGTAAGCTTGGGGGAAAAGAAAAGAAAGAAAAATCGAATCCAAAAATGTATCAAAATCTAGCTGCATTGTACCGTAGCAAGAACAAACGCACGGGCGCGTGAAATTTTTTTTTTTTTGAAAATTACATATTTCATTTTTATTATATTTTCATTTTCTTTCTTGATTTTCCTACAAACACCGATGAAAATTAGGCACGATAAAGATGATTTTTCTTAGAAACAAAATGAAGTAGAAATAAATCAAAATCAAAATCAAATAAAAGAAAGAAAATAATGAAAATGAATTAAAAATTTTGGTGCCTACATTCCAGCCACTCACATTGGTATCAAGCAAGTCACAAACTCTAGGATCTGACCACATGAATTTGGACTACTGCAAAGATTGAAAAAAAGGTGGTCTTGGCATCCAAGGGATCATTCCAATGATTGATGTTCTTGCCATTACCTATCCTCCAAATCTTCCATTTCTTCAACAATTTCTTGCCTTCTAATAAACTCCTCCATAAGTAAGAGAGACTGCTCCCTACTTTGGCGTTCAAGAAATCTGAATTAGTGAAGTATCTAGCTTTCAATACGCTTGCTACTAAGATTTAAAGTTCTTTAAAACCCCCCCCCCCCCCCCCCCCCGCTTCAAAGTCCCTAAAACCCTAACCACCTTCAGATGTCGGCTTGCAAATCTGCTCTCATCTTAACTTGCACAATTTCTTTTCTTCCTTTTTATGACCCCATTAGAAATTCCTAATTAAGGATTTCATGTTGTCACAAAGCCATTCTTCTTAATTGCACTTTATTAATTACAAATAGATAAACTAAGCATAATAATGCAATCAAATGGCATAAAGGATCTGCATCTTTAGATTGTAGGAACATGAAGGAATGCATTATGTCCTCAGCTTTGGTTATGATAATTGTTCTCTAACATGATAGATAAAGCTTATACCCTTGGAATCTTATAGACCAATCTGCTACTTCAAAGTTGATAATAGCAGCAAGTGTAAATTTGCAATCTTCCTATACCTTCAAGAAGACCTATTCAAACCAAAATATTTCTTTGTCAGTTCAGAAATTATAATAGCCCTAATCTACCATTTGATTTGAATAATTAAATAGTTAGGTTTTTTTGCTAATTTTCTTCTCATAGAAGCCATTAAATTATCGTGATTCAGAACCAAAAATGAATAAATGGATTAAACCAACAAAGGCAAACAATCTCACAAATAAACTATAAATCTGGGAGATTAAAATAGGAGCTCAACTTTCATTCATGATAATCAATTGAAAAGAGTAATTATAGAAATGGAGTAAATGAAATAAGATAAGAAGGGGAAAGAGATTGAAGGAAGCTTGGGGCGGGGGAAAATAGTAGAGAGGGTATCCCTTCTCTGATACAAATCAAATCTGCCAAAAGTTGAACTAACTATTACATATCCATCATGGTTTATACCACTATCGTCCTAACTAACTTGCAAGTGAACTAATAATCTTCTAACATGTGTCCATCAAGAATCTTCAGTTGAAATGGTCCCTAACTGCAACTGAAGCAACGTGAACCTAGTAAAGGCGTGTTTCCCGGATCACACTTTCCTTCTTGTCTTCTTCAACAACTCTCATACCTTCTCTTCATTCTTCATCATGTCTTCTCCTCTACTATTCCTTGATCATATTACAACTAACTTCATTGCAGTACTTCCCTCTTTGAAACAATCTTGTCCTCAAGATTGAAATTGAGGAAACTATCTCTCAATCTCCTCAGCATCCTCCTATATAGCTTTTGTAGGATCCGTTCCCCACTAGTGGATTAACCACTGGATTGCAGCATCATTGCTTTTCTTTACTATCCTCCTATCAAGTATAGCCAGTGGCTCTATCCTCCAATGACCTTTGTCATCTGTCTCAAATAGCTGAAGTATAGGAGTTGCCTTGTCCCCAATGTTCTTTTTAAGCAGTGGCACATGGAAAATGGGGTGTACCTTTGATAATGCAGGTCATTTCAACTTGTAAGCTATATCACCAATTCTCTCTTCTATCCTATAAGGTCCAAAGTACTTAGGTGAAAGTTTGGTGTTTCTTCTCAAGGCCACTGAGCTCTGCCTATATGGTTGTAGTCTTAGATATACCCAATCTCCTTCATTGAATACTCCCCAATTTCTCCTTTCATCCGCATAATTCATCATTCTTTCTCGAGCTAACTTCATATTCTACTTCAGCATATTGTCCATCTGTTGGCTGTCCTTGATGTAATCTCCAACTACAGCTACCCTTGTATGTAAGAAAGGTCCCAAGATTAGCTAGGGAGGAGATATGCCATACAAGGCTTCAAATGGTGTCATCTAAATGGCTATGTGGTACATGGTGTTATACCACCATTCAGCCCAAAGATAGCCACTAATTCCACCTCTTGGGTTCCAAATGAGTTAGGCACCTGATGTACATTTCTAGCACCTGATTAACCCTCTCAGTTTGTCCATCTATTTGAGGGTGGTAAGTTGTATTGTAATCCAATTTGGCCCCTAGCATTGTAAATAATTCTCCCTAGAACTAATTGATAAAGATTTTATCCTTGTCTAACAGCATGCTTTGAGGTATTCCATGGAGTTTACTGACTTGGTCAATGAAAATCCTGGATATTTTTGGTGCATCAAAGGGGTATGATAAACTGATAAAATGAGCATACTTGGTAAATCTGTCCACAACCGCCATGATAGTATCTCCCTCTTCTAAACTTGGCAAGACCTCAATGAAGTCCATGGTGACATGGCTTCATGATACTGTGGAATAGGGAGGGGTTGGAGTAGTCTTGGATATGCCACATGTTCATCTTTGCACTTCCTGCAAATATCACACTCAAGAACTGCCTTCCTGATTTCTTTGTACATCCCTGGCCAATAAAACAATTGTTTAGCCCTCATGAAGTTGGCTTGGATGCCCGAATGTCCCCCCACCTAGGAGTCATGTAATGTAGTGATAAGCTTCTGTCTTATGCCTCCATGTTCTTCTGCCACCAGTCTTTTGTTATACCTCAGAATTCCATCTTGATAAGTATAAGTTGGTACTTGAGCAGGGGTTATCAGCACCTCATTTATAATATTTTGCACCCATTCATCACCCTTATAGCTTTCTATCACTTCCTTGATCCAAGTTGGCATTGTGCATTCCCCAATTACTTCTTTTTCTTATTTGGAGAGGGCATCAGTAGGTGCATTGTCCCTTCCTTTCTTATATTGAATCTCATAACTCAACCCCAATAGTTCAGAGAGCCACTTTTGTTGGCGAGGAGTAGTGATCCTTTGTTCCAATAGGTATTTCAGCCTTTGGTGATCAGTGTGAATAATAAAATGATGTCCCTCCAAATAGTGTCTCCATTTGGCTACAATAGTTACTAGTGCCAACAACTCTTTCTCATATATTGATAATCCGATATTGTTTTGTCCCAAAGTAGATAAGCTACTGGCCTTTTGCCTTGCATTAGTACATCCCCTATGCCAGTTTGACATGCATCTATTTCAATGATGAATGGTCGAGAAAAATTTGGAACTGCTAAAACAGGAGCGTTGCACATAGCTCTTTTTAGCTCCTGAAATGCTCCTTCAAAATTCTCTCCC